GCTTTTCTTGCTATAGGCTAGTCGGCTAGTCGACCAAGCCATACCGTGAAGACCCAGGTCGGGCACATTGTCAGGAACACAATCTGAGTGCATTGAAGACTCTGAAGAAACTTCCTGCCAGACCGCTAAAATCTGCTAAGATTTAAGGCTGTCAAGTCATGCCCGGGCATAGATTGACCTTCCCGTTTAACACACTCCCATTGCGTGAGCACTTCATGAAGGTCTCTGTCAAGTCGAAGTCATGGGTTATGGGTGACAATCGATCGTCTACAGTATCTAATTTGGTTTTAAGTCCCATTGGTTCATTTGTGTCTTCTCTGCAACTTCTGGGCTGAATGAGATGCTGGAAAATGTATCTTCCTACATCTTCCTGCTCTAAGAAAGACACTTGCGTCCTTACAAAAACAAAACAACTTCCAAATGGTGTTCTTGGCAAGCTTTACCAAGCGCCTGTGCAGCCTCTGGATGCTTAAAGCTAAAGCAAAAAATGCGAATTAGGCTCTAACCTCTAACCATTTGGCAAATGATGCATATAGCTTACCGTGCATCAGCCTTCAAGAGGAACAAGGAAAAGGGAACCCAGCATTGTGATCATATGATATCTGTGAATCATGGCATCTCATGACATCTCATGCTCCTAACACTTCCCCCCCCACCTCAAAACAGCTGATTGACTCACTCGGTGTTTGTGGTCCCCGGCCAGCGGCTCATGGTCATTCTCTCAGGGTCATCCAGGCAGCAGGTCTGGTAGTCTAGGCGTCCCAGGAGTGGTCGGCGTGGAAAAATTTGGATGAGCTGCTTGGCGTGTCAGAACTGAGTTCTCTGGGGGGTATGGAACGTGATAGTTATGTGTGAGATCTCTCTCTCTCTCTCCTCTCTCCACTTGTTTCATACATCGAGATTAAGGATCAGTGAGGGCATGATACGAAGAAAGCAAAACCTCGCCCCATCAAACACATATGACTCACGACGACGCACCCGGCCACGACCCATCCGGTCACGACGCGCTCAGTGCTCCACTGAAGCGATAATCCCAACAGTCCAGGAACTGCCCTGCCTGAGGCGGGTGGCGGATTGGACCCACGGCGTCCGGGACGCACGGCGGTGGAAGGAAAACAAACATCTCAGAGAACTCGTCATCCCAATATACACATTAGCAGGTGGAGAGCTCAAACATTGTAAGTAATAAGTTAGATGAGCGACGTTGTTTATTTGTTATGTGGCCCTTGAACATTTCAATTTGGTGAGTGTATTATCGTTTTCCACGTTTTGAACCTTACTTATGTTAAAGGTTGTTTTCACAATGCGGCAGACTTTTTGGACATGGAAGCAGACGCGCGCCGGTCAAAACTCCTTCTGTGTGGTAACGTCGTGGGTGTCGCCTTCAATGGTGGCATCGCTACACACAGCGCCAGCATGTTTTTTTTGACTTGTCGCTGTTTGGTGGAAGTAGGAGTAGGAGTAGTAGTAGCAGCAGTAGTAGTAGCAGTAGTAGTAGTGGTAGTTGTTGTTGTGGCAGTGGTGGTAGTAGTAGTAGTAGTCGTCGTAGTAGCAGTCGTAGTGGTAGTGGTGGTAGTAGTAGCAGTAGTTCTAGTGGTGGTGGTAGTAGAAGTAGTAGTAGTAGTAGTAATAGTAGTAGTAGTAGTACTAGTACTAGTAGTACTAGTACCAGTAGCACTAGTACTAGTAGCACTA